AAAATTTTAATGGCTGAAGAAAACAAATCAAAAATCAAAAAAAAATGTAAATAATCAAAAATATCAATTTTTGCATCACAATTATTTTTTCACTGAAGAAAACAAATCAGTCAATAGATTAGTGATCAGAATCGACTTGTAGTATAAATACCATTTTCAAATCACTGCTAAATTTTAAAATTTTGAAACCGTCATTTTTAGTCATGACCAGCATCACACGGAGATAATTTTTGTAGCAACCGATCGGGTAGTTGATATGAATAATACAATAATTTGATGGTAGCAACAATTTCAGTGCAAAAATATTATAATTTGCATAGATTTTGTACTTATATTTTATGCAAGTTAGATTATTTTTGAAGTGAAATTTCGGATTTGTCAAAAAAAATTTGCATATTAACACCTTTATTATCCTCTCATAAAATACATATATATATATAAAGGTTATTACTTGAAATTGGTTCAGTTTTTTTAGTATTTAAAGAATTGTTGGTAGGTTGTAATGAGTGATATAGAAGATGAAGAAAATGTGGAAGGCAAAAGTGAAGATTGCAAAAACGGAGGACTTAGTACTACTGAACAAATAAAGAGGTCATGGCCTTTAAAAAGGTTTAACCTCTTTTAATCCTTTTAACCTTTTTTTGTACTTCTTATAATCAACTAATAATTACATAAATTATGAAAAGATAACTAAGGAGGTCATAACCTTAGCAGATTCATAGTCAGTCACTGAGCTCTCATTTTAACTACTAAATTTTAAAAAATCAAAAAACCTTTCTCAAATTAGCAATGATTTTTGCTTTATGAAAATTACATCGGATTTTTTTTGAACAGATTGTATGTTCATTTCATTCCGAAACAGTATAATATAATTTGTCTTATGCAAAAAATAAAAAAGTTCAAATAAAGTCTAATTTTTGATTTATATTTAAAAGTCTATGACTTACATTTTAATTTTAGATCAAACCTTAACTTTGAAATTCCCAGGAATCCAAAATCTTAATATAATGCATTACCTTTAATTCCAGCATTACACTGTCTTCATTTTGAAACTAGGTAGTAGGAACATGCTTGTTTTTTATAATGTATTAAAATTAATTAAAATTAATAGATGAAAAAAAATACTTTTAAAAAGAATGAATTTTAGGTTGTATAATAAGTTAAATGCAACTCAAAGTCAATCAAACTCATGTTTCTTGTTGTATTTGATCGTAATTCCGTTGTTCATCGTTATTGGAGGTTTAATTTTTTCTGTAAGTTATTTGAGTATTTTATTTGTTAATAAGTAACTCAATTTTACTACTTATTAAATTACGCATTTTTAAATATTTACTAATAGAATCAAATTATGAATTAAATTTTCTCACTAATATATCAATAAACTATGCCAAAGTTGTTTTATTTTTGTTCACCATTACAAAATATTCGACTGTGCTACTTTATGGTATTTATAAAGGTAATTAGATAAATGCCATAAATTAGCATATTTAAATATTTAATACAAGCATAGAAATTTAAAAAATGTTTGAATTGAAATAAAATAAATTCAAAACAATGACAGTTTTCGGAATTTGTTGCATCTCAAGAAGAAAAAATACGTAATGCTCAGATATGTACTGCTGAATCTGAAATAAGGATGACAAGTTTAAGACAATCTCTCGAAGATAATCTTCTAAGCAATTCCGAAATATCAAATATTACTCAAATATGGCGCTTAATTAATAAAACTGTTATCGAAGTAAATTTTTATTTTAGTTTCAAAAATTAGGCTTCAATCAAGACAATAAAAGCAAAATCTAATTTCGCTATTAAAAAAAAGTTTCTATCATTAATATATGACAATTTAAAACGATAGGTAATACAAAATACATGTTATATTAATTTAATACATATCTCATATTAATTTAGGATACTTTTGTATGGCTTGTTTTTTCAACTTGAATCTAAATGAAAGAAGATCAGTCTGATTACTTTAAATATTGGATTTTATGAAAGTACAGGGTTTAGATCAAAAATAAAAGAAATTGATCTAAATCTAGATCAAAATAAAGTTTAATCTTTTTTATCTTTTAGATTGAGAACTGTCATCGTAAAAAATTGTCCGAAATCGCACCGATCGAAGTTTTCGTCTTTAGAAATGCTATTTTATACTCATTTGGTATTTGTACGACAATTGGATATGGAAATTTAGTGAATTTTAATAAATTTAATAAAAATTAAATCAAAAGTTATAGTTTTAGAAAAGTTTGAGTTATAAAATATCTGACATATTTTTAATTTTAATAGTACTAAATTAAATAACTCATAATATTTTAGCATCCACGAACGGTTCATGGGCGAATACTTACAGTAATCTATGCAGTTATTGGAATTCCGTTAAATATAGCATTTATTTCTGATCTCGGCCAATTAATCTCTTCAACTGTGAAATATGCTGTTCAAAGCTTTCAAAAATACATTATGAATAAGTATTTTAATATGAATTCAAATTCAATTTCAAGTTAGATTCTTTTGAATTTGCAATGATTTTTTTCAGAACAGCAGATGATCCTTGGATTGAATACAAAAAATTTTCATCGGTTGTTGTAATTGCTGTCATTATGACTCCTTCACTTGCAATTATTGTTATGGTTAGAAAGTTTTTTTATCAAATAAAAGTTTATTTTTTATTACTTAACGCTTGGTGAAAACTTTTATGCCAGCGTAATAAATATTATTATATTCACTTTAATTTAACACTTTTAAAAGTAATACAGCAATACTTAATATAATTAAGTCAAAATTTTAGCAAATATAATAATTAGTGAAAAAATGTAATACATTAATAATTAAGCAAAATACAGCAATATTTATGTAACGCATTGATAAAGTGTCATTCATTAAGTATTAAAATTAGCATAATAATATAAGATATCGTTATTTAAACAAATAGTTATACTTAATATGGGAAATTTTCATTCAATACAATCATATTTCCTTATATATTGTCATACATTTCAACTAATTAAATTAGAAGTTTGATTGTTTTTGTTATTAAAAATATAGAATTAATATTCATTAAGTCAAATAAGCATAATATTTTTCATACTAATTGCAATAATATTTTCTCCTATTTAGATCATACCTTGAGTTAGATCAACATTTGATCATTTGCTCTTAATATATTTAACGCATATTATGAGAATATTTTAATTCAGTAAAGCAATATTTCTTAATTAAATGTGATATTTACTTAATAAATTAAACTTCTTACTTCATGATTTTAATGTCAAGTATTTGAATAAATATGCACAAATTTATTGAACTTTTTTCACGACGTACGACAATTTATTAGATTTTTACGTACTTGCGAGAATTTATTAGAAGTCAATCAAATCTTACATACATGCGTACATGAATTATAAATAATGATCAAAATAAATTTCAGAATGCAGAAAGATTACGACAATGGAGTTATGTAGATTCACTTTACTACACGTTTACAACGTCTACGTTAATTGGTTTGGGCGATTTTACACCACAACCATCTTATGTTCAATTTTTTTTCTTAATGCCATTGTTTTTCATAGCTGAAACTGTTTTTGCACTAGCTCTTGGATTCATTACTGCAAGTTTTTTGGCTCTTTGTTAACTTTAACATAAGATTTATTAGCTATTAGTTATTTAATATTTAATTATAAAAAGTAACAATATATCTGCGCATTTAATACTTTTTTAAGTCAAACTCACTGCTTAGGCATTACTTTTGAGCAAGATAAAATCATCTTTCAGTATTTATCTCTCAAAATTTTGGAATTATTTTATACAAATTACTTTATCAACAAAGTTTGAATTTATTTTGATTCATTTACTCACTTTCAATCATTTTAAATTCATTATTCATTTTTGTGATTTTAGACAAAAAGATTATTATTAGAAAGAAATTAAAATTTCAAGCAAAAAAAACAAGTAAAAGAGTTACATTTAAAATTTTCATTAAAATATATAAAAAATATTTCTTCGCCTTTTTTGTCAAATTTTTTTGTTTGACTGAAACTTTATTACTTTACGCACTGATTTCAAAAAGTTTGCTGACATTTAATTTTTATTCACAATAGCTAATAATGTTAGATTTGTGTATGAAAGTGTATTCCAGACAAGTAGAAAATATTTCCTAAAATTGCTAAAGTATTTAATTTAATAATTTTAAAGTTCTAATAGAACAAATAAAGAAAGAAAACTTTTAATAGCAATATTACTTATAGCATTTGTACCGATTTGAGGTGGTAGTACTGTGCAAATTAATTATTCATAAAATTTCAAGATATTTTCTGCATCGCAAATTGCAACAAATAATAACAACACGTAACGCAAATAATTTACAAGCTTTAGATGAACATTCAAGACTAAGTAAGTAATCTTTTACTTATCTTAAAAATTTATCAAATAAAAAAAGTAAATTCAAAAGTAAATTGCTTCAATAAGATGAATATTAGAAAGAAGTGTGAACTGAATTATGATAGAAATTAAAAAGTTTGATTCAAAAAAGACTGATAGGAAAGGATTGAAATAGTAATATTAATAAATATTTTGTTGTAAATTGTCCAAAATTTGCTACATAAAAACTACAAAAGAGTTTTTTGGATGTGCAAAAAATTAATCAAAAATTTATGACATTTTAGTGATGTGACAAATTTTTGTTGTTTTAATACTTTAGTAAACTATTTGATTTTCATTACAGTTTATATTTTATTTTTACAGACACGGAAACAGAATCGGCTTTAGCTGTACGTACTGATCCAAATTATTATGACGCTCGAATAGCTAAATTATCAGCACAAAAAATGCTTATGAATGAAAAAATTGATAAGGTATATTTTGGTTTGAACTGTTTTCATTTTTGATTAAATTTTTCCAATTTTTAAATTTATACTATGAAAAATTAATTTTAACATGATTATGCAAATTAATTTAGGAAATGCACATGCTGGAAGCAGTACCAAGTAAAGTTCACGTTGGAGTACTCAATGCAGGAATGCAAGGTTAGGTTAGACTAATTGTCTAATACCTTCAATTATTTATATTTTATCAAATTACAAAAAATCTTATCTGTAAGAATAAATATTTGAGACAATTTATCACGTGGATGATATTTTTACAAACTTTAAAGAATAATTTGCAAATTACACCAATTCTAAAAATTTATTATTCATTTTGCGTCATTTTTACAGTTGTTGGAAATAAGCATCGTATAGCATGAAAAAATGGTTTACATCATGATGAAGATATTAACTTTCAAGACAAATACGTGGATTCTTGAATCACATTTAGATGCATGATTATAGATTTAATTATTCTAATTCAAATATGCTAATGATTGCCTTTTACGACAAAATAAACACATCAATGAATTTTGTTTTTAAAAAATAATTGTAAAAATAAATAAATTTTGACTACATAACTTTCCAATTAGTAATGACTTTGCGAGGGTTAAAGTTCAAATTTTGCTAGTCTATTTCATAAAATATTTATTTATTAATCATTTCTACTGAAAAACAAGCCAAAATTTTGTTTTAATAAATGTTTTTACAAAATTAAACACATCAGAATTACAGTACTGACATTAAAATAAAAAAATTATGAATTCATAACTTTTTCGTTTGCTAACTGATTTGCTGCAAAGAACATAGCTTTGGTATTACTGATATTATCATATGCAAATTATCCATGCTACATATTGAATTGTTTTTATCAGTTATATCGTGTCTCAATACTTTTGTACTGAGTTTTCAAAATGTAAATTAGATACAAATTATTTGATTTGCAAATTTTACTAAGAATCGGATAGCAACTGAAGCATATAAGTTTAATTTAATGCTTCATTTAATTTAAATTTATAAGAAACCCGCGCCAATAAAATATAAGACAAATTTTCTAAATGTTCAGTTATCGATAAAATTTACAGCAAATTTTTTGCAATAAAAATTTTATTTTGTTATCAAAAAAATAAATTTAATAAATGCATTAAACGCGGGCGATTGAACACACATCACATCTATATTTATCAAAAAAAGAATATAGTTAGAGTATGATTTTATCGATTGATTAGCCCTCTATTGATTTGAAATATTCATAAGCATGACTTAATCAAAATGTTTATAAAAAAAATTAGTCTCAAAAATTATTTAACCAGAAAGAATAAATAATTTTGACATAGTATTTATTTAATTCTTACAGGTCGTAAGAAAACTATTTATTTAAGACATAATACTATTAACTGATTTTATTATATTATATCTGAAAAATTTATATTTTATAAATAATTTAAATTATTTAGTAATATAAATTGGTGGAGATTCTTTGATTGGATGACGGAATCTCAGAGGTATTCGTTCACATGGATCAAGCGATGATATTAATTGTGGTAACCATAGTAAAGCGTGAGTTAAACCAATAACATTAACGAGTACAACAGTTTGGAAGAATACACGCACTAAATATGCATTTATTAGTGGTAACGTCACCATAGCAAATAACGTGGAACTACCAGCTTGTGTCACTGGCCAACCGACTACTGAAAGTGCGTCACGTACCTAAAATTTTTTCTTTTCTCGGAAAATAAAAGTCATACTTAAGATATATTATTATTAACTGATTATAATATATTATATCTGAAGGATTTCTGCATTTCTTGCAATAATTTTTCATTTAAGTATTGAGCATAATTGCTTGCAAGTAAAAAAGACTGATCTGAGTAAGAAAATTATACAAAAATCATTTTAACTTTTTCTCATATTTTTGTAATTTACAGTATTCCTGTAATTTTAATAATTATCAATACTAATATACTCATAATCAATTTGTTTAAATACATTAACACCTGCAATTATGTAAAATTTAAATACGATTTTGATTTTTAAACTTTGCCTGTAAATTAAGTAAATAATTAAATGTCGAATTAAATCACAAAATAATTTATTTGATATTAAGATTAAAAATAAGTCTGAAACTTCTATATAATAGACAAACTTGTAGTATTTACTTTGTTTTCGTTCATAATTCGAAAAGCTGAATCCCATATTATAAAAACTGGTACTTTAAATTAAGCGAATACTTCATGGCTACATTTTCACTCATTAAAAATTTCTATTACTTTTTAACGTTTTATGAATTAATCGCTTTAAGACCCTCAAAAATGTTGTCAATAAAAGTATTGTTACACTGGATCTATAAGTAATATTAACTGAATAAAAATTAAATAATGAAGGATTATTTTCACTGCTATTTACTGTTACAATTTCTTGACTTACTGTAATAATACTTTTTCTACAGTTTTATTAACTTCACAGTAACTCTAAAAAATATTGAACAAATTTGAAATCAAATAATCAATATCAAATTTGCTCATTAACTTTCCTCAAATTCTTGAGTGCTATTTTTTACTTAAAAAAAATTTATTCTCTTTAAAGTTTTCGTTAAATATTTTTTCAATACTACTTTAGGAATTGTTTTTTTAAATGTCATCTTTATTGAAACTTTGCAATATTTTCAAATTATAACTTTTTTTTTTGAAATTTTCGATATTTCAAGCATACTTTAGATTGTTTTTGTGCAAATTATAGATTTTCAGTAATTTGACATTTATGCAAATTTTTTTTACTTTTTCTTCAGCAGTCTGTTTCTGTGATCGATGATAACGATAACAAATATGTATGGAAAAATCGACTGCTAAACCAATTGCCATCACTATGCATCCCATAGAAACAGAATCCAAATCACTACCCCAAAGAGATAATCCACCACAAACTCCCATTGAAATTGATAATAAGCTCCAAGTCATGAAAAATATCGATTGCTGTAATTATGCAAATAAACGGAATTATCTAACAAAGAATTTGCATGCAAAACTTAGATCATCGTGATGAGGATATTTCTGTAGTTTTGACCTATGACTCTTAATTAGTTATTATCCAGTCATGACATAGTCTAATTTTTTGCTAGCAGTAGTGAAGATACATTAATTCAAAGAGTAAAAACTTCTATCAATTATCTCTTCTTTCCTTCTTCGTATTATTATTTGGGTAAACTTTGGAAATACGTGCTTCAAATGTCACGTAAAGAATGCATGCAAATAAAATGAATGAAGTGATTCTCACGTAGATATGATTATATAGGATTGATTGTGATTTTAGTATTTTTTTCTAAACTTTTTAAAAATTATTGATTAAAATTGTAATTTTTGTAATAACCTTATCAGGAAGGAAGAAAACTGAAATGATTGCCATCACAGAAATGGCTGATCCAATCGACTGCATAGATGATGGTGCAATACTTGTACGTTGATCAATTAGAAAGGGTGAAAATAAGCCTGCTAAGAAAACTTCAAATTCTGGATAATCCGCAAGGATTGAGCGCCATTTATATAATTCTTTCTAAAAAATTGTACTATTCAATTTTGATTACAATTAACATTTTTTTAAAGAAAATTTGTATGGTTTTTAGAATGAAAGTCTTTTTGAGTAATAATTGTTAATAAATAATATCAATACTTTCGAAAAATAAAAACAAATATCTTTGACTAATAAAAGAAATTATTAAAAATTATTTTGATCAAAACAATAGTTGACTGAGGTTGTAAATTTAAAGTAATTTTACTAACAAAATTCATGAAAAATAATTTTATTATTCAAAAATATCTGCTGATTAAGCATTTCTGCAAAACCTATATTGTTGTCTGATTGTTTGATTATTAGCAACTATTAATAAAATATTAATCAGAAAATTACTAGGATTTGTATTTTAGCTTTGATTGGTATTTTTGATTGTTTTCAAAAGTTCAGTGTTTGATGATAAAGATTTATTATGAATATGAAAAGTAGTTAAGATTGGGAATTTGAAGTAATTTTACTAACGAAATTTATGAAAAAAATGCTTTTATTATTCAAAGATATTGGTTGATTAAGCATTTTTTCAAAATTTAGGAAAGTTAATGAAAATTAATTTCAGGAAATTAATGAATTAATAGAATGGAAAATTAATGAAATCAAGTCTATAATAGCTCGTTTGGAACACAAAAGGATTCATTCTTGATTTAATAAATTCATGGAAGGCTTGAGCGATTTAACAAAGTTGTTATGTCAGCTAAGCAAATTATTAGCAACAAGTTTAAATGTTAATTCTTTATGGACTAAGTCAAAAATATGTCAACAACTAATATTTGTAATTTAAAAAATGTTATATTCTTTTCAAAATTTGAAATTGATTAAATCAGACTTGAAAACGGTTTTCATAATAATACTTTTTCTAGGCTCAAATTGCTGTGTTACGTTACCTGTCTTTTATCCCAAGAATCCAGTCCGTAATAGCTCGTTTGGAACACAAAAGCTGCAATGCATGGCTCCCCGTTAGGTACACCAATTTTCAGTTTTATTTGATCTGGAAAGATCTAATTTAAGTACTTTGCTTGATTGAATATAAGTTACAAGCGATTTAATAATTTAATAAATTTTCAAATACATAACAAATTATAATATCCACAGTCTTTGAAATTAAATGATATAATACTACCTTTAGTTTATTACCGTTGTTTTTTGAAAAGTAATATGATTGATCAATCGATTAATCAAATAAAAATTGATAGTAATTTTCAATATTTTTGATGAAATAGATTTGCAATGCATGATAAATTTATTATCATAAATAAATAAGTGTTAATAAAATATCAGATCAGTTATTAAATCAATTCATATTAGTATGCTTTAAAATAATTTACTTACGTTCAAAATTCACGTTGATTAGATTTCTGATTTTAAATCAAAAAATTGAAGAAATATTGAACCACTTAACCAATTCAAGTACACAAAATTAAGTTTTTATATTTTTAGGTTATTCTTTTATTTTTACATTTTGTTTTTTTTAACGATTATAATAGATTTTAATCATGAAAAAAGTTTGTGGAAAAAGTTAACCTTTATATTGCTTATAATCGAGTTGATCAAAAAAGCTTGCTAAATATTTTCGATCATAAAAGCTGCTTGTATAATTGATATGTGGAAAATCATTAAGAAATTGCTGATATTCCCAGAGCCAAAAATTTGTTGAAACACGTCCAATGCTGTATTCTGTGTGCTCCAGCCGGTAGATTAACTTATTTAGGCGTGAACGTGCTTTATTCTCACGTAAATCAGGTGGTTTCATGATATAAAACACAGGCATCACGTTATCCGCCCAGATATATTTATCTGTTGGGATTTTTTGTATTAAATATTTATTGAAGCTTTCTGCTTAGATGAATTTAATTTTTACATTTAAAAAATTTTTTAATATGAAAAATTTATAAGCTTTAAATAAGATATATCTTATTAAATTTAGCAAGTTTCTATTTTCAATTCTAATTTTAATATTTTTAATTGCATTTTGCTTCAGAACTCGCTTTAAAAATTACCAACTCTATACTTTATTTATCTTAATAATTCTATACTTTCTTTTGAATGCTTTCAATTTTTGCACATAAAAGTTTAATTTTTTTAAATTTAAGTATTTTCAATTTGGTTTTTACCTTTACTTTATTTTTCTATTCGAATGACTTTTAATTTAAGTAATTTCTTGTTTAACAAAGTCTAATTTATTTGTAATTAACCTTTTACAAGTCAATTTTTACTTTATTTTATTAACAGATTTTAATTTTATTACATGTTTTTTACTTTTTTGAAATGAAAATAATTTGTGAAGAAATTTTATTTGCAAACTAATAACATACCAGCGAGATAAATAAAAGATTGAATTGGGGAATCATCACGGATATATTTTCTAGGACTAATATCAACAGTGAGTGTCGTAACACCATAAATGGCTAATATAGCATAGATAAAAAATATAATCCAAGAAACAACACGTACGTCTCTCCGTAAAATAAACGGTGCGTACTTATCTCTAAACCATTTGTGCATAAAAGGTGCTGAAACAAATAACTTATTGAAAAATATTCAGTACTTTTATTGAAATAGAATTTAATTAGAAGACTGAGTTGCTACAATTTGAAATTAAATATTTACTCTTTATTCAATATTGCTGAAAAAAGTATTTGATTTTTTAATTACAAATTTGAAAGCTTTCAAAAATGCTAACTGATATAATTTAACACGTAAATATGTAAATCCCTTACGTTCAGTGACACGATTTTTCGGCGTTTCTTTTTTTTTCGATTTTGATCCATAACAACATGATAAAAGTCCACCTTTACTTTCTCTACGACCTCCATAAACCATAATTGACGCATAAAAAGTAATTTGATATATATAATCCATAAGTATACCACAGGCTGTCATTATACAAAAATCTCGGACAGCTGGCGTGGAACAAAGAAAATAGCCAAGAGCTGAAATCATAACTGGATGGATATATCTGCGAGTGATAAGTATTTTTTATTTTTTAAAGTTCAGTATTCTTACTTAGTTTTGTTAGAGTTTATATCGACGTGATCAATCTCAAAAGTTAGAATAAATGCCGTCATTTTTTGAAAATATAAATTTTTTTGAGAAATGGTGACTTGAAACTTTTATAAAATACAAAAATTTCGCACAGTTCACTACAATTTTTACCTTTTACATTATTATCTCTTCAAATGCTTGCACAGTAACAATTAAAAATTTGTTACAAACTTGATTTTTGATGTAAAATTTAGAAAAAACAAAACAAAAGTTTAATTTTAAATTATCATTTTCTCTTTTGCAGTAAAAAGTAATTAAATATTATTTTTTTCTTTCTTTGAAAGAGCAGAATTCAAAATATTTTATCATCAAAACATAAAAATTTCATTTTTCTTGATTATTTCTGGTTTTGTCTTCAAAAGTTATAATTTTAACCTTGAAAACTCAATATATAACCTTCAAAAACTCAAAATATAATACCAAAACAACCAAAATCAGTCATTGAGGTCACGGTGATTGATACGCCAGCATCACTCATAGTTAGCGCCATGCGTTTTTCTACTGATAGCCAAGGGTCAGTAGCACGCCATGCACCCAACATCAAAAAAGCATCATCAACACCTAAAAAAGTTACACATATTTATATAATTTAAAAGGTTGAATAGCACTAAAATTTGATTATACACAAAAAATACAATTACCAATTGCAAGAACTAAGAATGGCATAGTGCAGGCAACAGGATTAAGATATAATCCAAAATGAAACAATAATCCAAAAGTAGCAAGCAATGATAATATCACTGATATCACTGATAAATAACCCTCCATTGGCTTTGATCTGAAATAAAAATTAATGATTAAAGATCAAACATGGAAGTCAATCAATTTATATCAAATAATCACAATTTTTGTTCAAAAATTTTATTACTGAGTAAAATTAAAATGCATGCATAAAAATAATGCAGGCAAATATAATTTTAAAATGTAAATTTTAGCACTTTCATGCATTTATTCTTTTATCAATTAAAAAGCTAAATTTAAACGCATTCATACCTTTATTTAAAAGAATAGGCGGAAGATTTTTTCAAAATTATACTTAAAAATAAAAAATTTTTATAACCAAAATTAAAGAATTTTATTTAGTTATATTTACATTTAAAATATTTTTTAGCTTTCACAAAAAAAGCTAATTATTCAAATTACCAAAATATAACCTAAATTGAAGTTTGAAAGCACAGGATGCTACGTGAACACATTGACGTAAATATTTTATTTTACGTGTGAATTTGTAAAAATTTTAGCAGACAAAAATGAAATATTGCAGAAGAAATTCACAAAAGTGGATTTGGAATTGAATTTAAAAAGAGTGGATAAAGAGTACTGTAAAAAATTTTGAAAAGTTCAAAAAGTAAGAAATTTTAATAAGTAAAGGAACAAAATAGACGTAATTAAAAAAATATATATGTTTTTAAGGCCAAATTTTACTTCTGAAATTTACTTTACTTTGTTATGTCAGTTGAATAATTCGAAAGAATCACAAAAAGCATTAATTGCAAGGATACTGGAATCGTATTTGGTAAAGCTGTTTGTATTATCAATAACATTTCATCGTCCATTGCTTTATCACTGCAAATTAACAATAATCAGTAATTATTTATTTATTTGTTATTCATTTTGTTTATTGTCAAAAC